CAGCAATACTTATTTGGAGAGGGAGGCAAGCCAAAACAGGTGATGGCATGGTGCATTGTCAGGGCAACTCTCACTGACCGTGTGGTTCTGCAGTCCATGCCCTCTCTGAGCCGGGCACAGTGGGATCAGCAGGCTCACAGTGGGTAGCTCAGAGAAAAGTACTGTCAGTAATGTTTTAACTGGGACAGGTGCCTAATGAGAATGCATAGCCAGAACATATTAATGCACTGAAAGGCCTTAGAAATCCATCTTAGCATGACATTTGCTCACCTACTGCCAGAAATAAGGCCAGCTGAGAGTGACATTTTAATATTTTTGGAGAACAGAACTGGAGCAGCAATGGACTTTTTAGTGCTCCTCAAATGACACTACTATATACCACTAGATGAAGTTGAAATTATGTCTTTGTACGTGATAATTTGCAGCAAGACCTAATAAGGTTTCAACTCTTGCACACACCTAATTATGCAGGAATAACACAGACAGAGTGTCCAAATACTCTTGCAAAACATCTACAAATCTCAATTTTTTCAGGATTAGCAGTGTCCTGAAAATTGGAACGACCAAAGTTGAAGCAAAAGCTAAGGAAAACATACTCAATCCCCTGTGCTTTTGTGCAGTCCTAAACATAATCATAAAAGTAGTAACAAAAGCAAGTTTTCTGAACAAAAAAAAGTGTTCTCATTTGAAGAAAGAGAAAACAAAAAATACAATATAGCATCAACAGTAAGGATTTCACTTATTCATGGAACTATGGTTGCACCCCAGCCACAAAACCTCAGATCCTACCCAGATATAACAGTATCATTCATTCATAACCCTCAAAGAAAAAGACAATGGAAGAAGGACACCTTATACTGGGAAAAAGGAAACCTGCAGCCAACAACATCACCCTATCCAGCAATTTGCCAATGAGACAGAAATAAATGGCAATAGCATCAAAACCCCAAACACAGTGTAAACATTGCATGACATTCAGAGACCTAAAAAGCACGATGCTTACATTTTGGAAGATCTAATGTGTTTTTCCTGTTGACATGGAGCTGGATCCACAAAACAACATTTCTGACATGTCAGTCCACAAAATAGCCATGGAAAAATACAGGGACAGAGCTTTTATTCCTAAACCATATTGTTCAGAAGCTCTGGACTGTTACAGTTCAAAGGTAACTTGGCACATTAAAGGAATGGGAAAGTTTAGATACAGATCCGAACACCTCCATGTTTGGCAACATGAATGAGTTTGGATCTTGGCAACATGAACCAGTTTGGATCTTATTCATCTCTAATCACAAACTTTCATTTTTAGTTAGGATTCCTTGGGCCATGGGAGCTACCAGCTGCTGGATTCTGAAGAAGACTCAGCCGTAACTCACGTCTCCAAGTACAAGTTTCAGGCAGGCAGGGCAGCATCTCTGAATGCTGTCGGAATGAAGTGTGGGAAGGTGATAAGCTGTAGTTGCCCTGATCAGTCCAAGTAAAGATGCAAAGTTTAGAGTCACAGGTTACTGCTGCAGGTGGGTAGCAAACTCCCATACATCACTCAGAACAGCATCCCAGGTATGAAAGCAGGCCCACCCCAGCCCATCAACACATGGCAAAAGTTGCAGCCTTGCAAAGACCTTTTCCCCAGTGCTAGAACTCAGCCAAAGCAGCCCCATGTGAGTTGCAGTGGATGCCACTGTGTCTCTCTGCCACACTCCAATACTGCTGTAAGGGAAAGACACAATTCCACTCTCAGGAATCCTGCAGGAGATTCTGGAGACAGATTTGCAGGCGCAAGTAAGACCTTTCAAAGAAAGAAAGCAGGATAAGAATAGCAGCCAGGGAGGTAGGACAGGAAGCAAAAGCCAAGAGGCTGTGGTTACCTCTCCTGACAGATGTGACTTTGCAGAGAGGCAAAGGGTATTTGCACAGCAGGTCTCACCCAGAGCGACTGAGGCTGATGATTTCAATAACACAGCCCCAGGGAGCGAGGGGCTCCAGGCTCTGGCAAACAGTCAGTCTGAGCTGTGTCAGCTGCACCAGAGTGCTGATTAGGCACTTTTCTCGTCAGAGCAGACCCATTCAGCAGGAAATGAGGCCACATACGTGCTGCCAGAGCTGAGAAAGCCATATCCTGCGGGTCAGAGGCTCCACTCGCGTGCGTCAGTGCACTTCCAGAGCAGCTAAGGGAGGCGCACTGGGTTGCAGAGAGAGCTGTGTGCCCAGCCTGTGGGAGAAAAAAGTTGTACTGCATGTTCATTTGGCCTTTGGGATTTTTGGTACATAGGTAAAACTGTCAGGGTGTCAGGTAAGAGGCACAAAAAATATTGAGTAAATGTTTTACAAAAGCAGAAATATCTCAGCTAAAAAAAGTGGGTGGATTGGATGGAAGATTTTATCAATGAAGTAATGCAAATCTTGTAGTTGCAATCCTTGATGCTGGCTGCCCCACTTCCATTAGCAAATCCTTCCAATCCAGGCACAAAGGAAAGTTAGAGGTCACCCATCTGCAGCACAGAGGTTACAACCTATATGCATAAAATCATCCGACAAGTCATAAGTCTATGTTTCTCCACAGCTCACTCATCTGACTACTGCTGTCTGGCTCATAAGTATATCCCAAGAGACTGGCAAAATGTAGATTTATTTAGGTACATTAGGTGCTGGGTTTCCTAATGAGTGCTGCTGGAGGAACATTTTAGTGACAAGGCAGAGACCTATGCACAGAAGCTTACGGTCCTGTTCCAAGTTGTGCAAAGAAAAGGTCTCCCTTGGTGAAAAACCTAAAAGGGCAGCTTCACCTGAGCTTATTTATGAAAAGTCAAAAAGATTTTCAGCCCAAGCCACTTTTAAAGGTACATTTGAAACTTTAGAATAAATATCCCTTTAAGAATAACTATTTTTATTCTTATGTTATTAAAGAACTTTCAGAGTGGGAGAAACAAACAAAATAGTTCTACACAAAAAACCTGAACACACAGGGAACTGTCAGAAGTACAGAGATCACAAGCTGCAAAACAGAAAGAATATGTTTTCAGTAAACTGTCAGGCACAAGAGATTTCAGAAGTCCAGGTATACCTCTGACTCTTCTTCTGTCTTCTATCATAGTCAAATAAATTATATGAAACCTTTTAACCATTTAATTGATCTCTGTCCCGAAGCTCATTAGGGTTCTTGACGCAATTAAAGGAACTGTTAGTGCAAACAGTAATTGACGAACAACAGCAAACATTGATACTGATTCTTGTGGTGCATCTTTCAGCTCTGTAGGGTCTAGTCACTTACATGACAGCTTAGGCAGCCCTTATTGATACCTTTACACCAGAATTTTGTACACCCCATTAAGAGATTAGCAGACTGAAGGAATTTATGAAAGACATGGAGTGAGGCGTGACTGAGCCTAGCAGAATTACACGAGAAGGTATAAAATGTCCATACAGACAAACAATGGCAAGGAGCAGATGCTTTGGAAAAGAGTATGCAAAATCAGTCATCACTGGTTTCCTCTCAATCAGCAGTCCAAGAACTTCCTGAAATGGTGTTTCTATCAGGACCATCAAAGCAAATAATTGCTGGTAGAGTTTTTTGGTGAATATGTCCGTTTGTTTTTGAATTAGCTTATCTCTTTGATAGGATTTCCCTTTGCTGTGTTAAAAGGAGTAGATTCAAATCTATAAATTTTAATTAGCTCCCCAGGCAGTATAACTTTTAACAACTCCTTCTGCTTCCTCAAATCTGCTGATTGCTCTGTGCATAATCCAGACCTGTCATTCTCTTGTGAGGAGTCTTTGCTGTATGGTCACAAAAGTCTGTCCCTGGAGGAAAGGAATTGCAACATTTTAAAGGCAGTGTTCAGTCTCATAAGAGTCAGATTTAGCACATGCTAAATTATCTGTGATGCTTAAAAGCAGACATGTATTATCCTGCCTAAGTGATTACTAGGAGAGGGGTGGAGTAGCTAAATCTGTACTAATTGCCCTATACAGGGAAGCAGGAATGCCAAAGTGTTTGTATCATCCACACTTGATGCAACCCGAATATATAATCAGTCTTAACCCATCATACATGCTGGTGAAGGTATTAAATCCATGTCTCTGGGGATGTAGGCTTTCAAGTGATAAACACTTCAAAAGCAGCACAGGGTAAAGGCCAAAATAGACTGCAAGGTGACAGCTTCCCTTGTCCTTTCTGGCCTAGCACTGTAGGACCATTTGGCAAGACAAGGACAATAACCTTGGGGTGATGCACCTTAAGGTGCAGTATAAGATTATTTGGACTTCTTTAGAGAGGGAGAGAATACCAGTGGTCAGTAGATGTGGTGTCACAGCACAGGGCAAACACCAGAGCCCTGTGCAGAGTGTCCTGGCACAGGTGTCTTAAACGCTCTACAGCATTCATCCTCATGCCTGCTGGCGGGACACTCCTGCCTGCCTGAGTTCCCTGTCCCCACACTGCCACCAACAGAGCCCACGGACAGGGAGACAGCTTTAATTAAAAACAGTGAGAGAATGATTGTCCTGTTCTAGTTAAGGAGTGGGATGAGTGGAATAAGTATGAGGGCCTGCAAAATTTCCAACACCTCGAGGAAAGCTGAGACGATGCTTAGTACAGCCTTCCAGTCCCAGCACTCAACTCCACAGCCTCCAGCTACTGGGTGGCCTCACCTGCTGGTAGAGAAGTTTTCTGTGCTCCAGGAGGGAGGGAGTTTCCCATTTCCCATGGACACAGATCCGTGTCTTTTGGGCAGAGTGTGTTTGTGGACGGGGTGGGGGATCACGGAGGCTAGAGATGGAGCATCCCTGTCTAACCCTAGTGCCACCCCACAGGCACAGGTGGAGAGAAATGACAGGGAAAGGAGGCGAGAAAAAGAGGGGAGTTGAATGAGAGGCAGGACAGTGGGAAGCGTCAAGGAGTGCGGAGGGAAGGAAGAGAGAGGAAAAAAAAAAAAAAAAAAAGGAGGAGAAAGGGGAGGAGATGAAAAGCAAGGGGGAGAAGGGAGGACCGGGCGGGGAAGAGGCGAGAGGCCCGGGAGGAGAGGAGGGAGGCAGCTCGTCAGAGAGGGACGGGGACGGTACCCAGCGCCCCGCGGGCCATGCGCCTCCTGGCCACGGCGCTGGCCGCCCTGCTGGCCACGGCTCCAGCCCCAGGTAAGCGGCACCGCGGGTGCTTATCGGCGAGCGCCCAGCCCCGGCAACCCCCGCCTGACACTGGGCAGCCTCCCCTAGTCCCCCAGCGGGCCCCCCGGCTCCCCTCGGAGCGCCGCCGCCCCTGCGCGCCGCGGAGCGCCCTCCGCGTCCGGGTCCCGGTCCGAGTGCCCCCGCCGCCCGCAACGGGGAGGGGCTGGGGCAGCGCTGGGGCTCGGGCGGCAGGACAGGGGCTTAGCGGTCCTTGGGGAGCACGGCCGGGAGGGGCGCCCCTCCGCCGACCCCCGCCCCGCCGGTCCCGACCTCGCTCTGCCGCTGCTTTCCCGGACTCCCCGCAGCAGCGCTTCGGCACAGCGACCCGATCCTTTTTAGAAAAGAAAACCCTTTCCATGCAGAAGTTCATGGAGATGGGTCCTCGTCCGTCTTCTGTTTTAGGCAAAGCCGAGACAAAGGGGGGTTTGAGATTGGTTTTTTTACACAGGTGCCCTGATCCCGTAGGCATCAGGTGGAAACGCAACCCGTAGGTCACTTGTAAAAACCCTCCTCCATTTAAGACCTTTATGCCTCCAAAACCAAAGGTGTATTGGACAGTATGTGTGTCCTGAAGCTGCAAAACGGACACAGAGCCTGTAGCTGAACTCCCAGATGCAGTGAGGTTAGAGGGGTGGGGAAGCCCTACTCCTTCAAGGTTAATGAAAGAGTTGAATATGAATCTTCACCACAAAAGGGCAGGAGATGCTGGAGGCAGATGTTTGGTTCAAGTCCATCTTTAGTCAATGCAGAAGCTTTCTCTGAGGGGGAGTCTCTGAGTTGTGAAACTTGAAGACAGATCTGTTAACTGAGAACAGCTGGTTGTTTTTTGGTGCTCTTGCTACCCAGCTCCTAATTATTTTCAGTTAAACAAAGAGCTCTTCCTGGCTCATCTGCTCTTTTTAATTGTAGAGAAATCAAAATAAAGCAGGCTTTGACAGTAGCATAGCTTCCTAGAACAAACTACAACACAGATAAAACCCATCCCATATGCTTGTGGTTGTACAAATTTGAGATCAGAAGGTAACCATCCCAGTGGCATCCCAGGACTAGCAGTCCTCCCAATCCTGAAGGGCTGGTTGTAGATTCTGCCTGTTGGTCTCCATGGAGGAAGGAAGAGTGGCCTATAAACAACAGTAAACCAGGATTATGAGCAATTGTTCACAGGAGCAACTCCATCCGTATCTCCACTTGAAGTTGTCCCACGGAAATACAACCACACTGAAACTGCTCACCAGATGTAAGAACCAAGCAGTGACTTTAAGGCTTTTGCCACTGTTCTAGCACAGATGGAGGGGATAGTCCTGGAATAAACAAGTTTCTGGCTGCTAGAAGTATAGTTTAGTACTGCTGGCAGTGCTGGGAAAGTGTTTTGCTATGTCATATGGCAGACAGCAAAGTCTGGACCTAGCTAATTCTTGGAATTGAACTGGTCTAAGCAGAAGTGGACAATTTGCAAAATAGTAGGATTTTTTAAGACAGAACTTAATCAGCAGTCACCTTTCCTGGCTCCCCTCAGGCTAGTGAGACACACAGGTGGAGGGTACCAAAGAAGCAAACAGCTAAAAGGTTGGGATGGGGGAAGCTAAGCTGCTTGCAAAAAGGAGAGACATGTTTGATGACTAAGCACACTGCAAAGGAATCCTCAAATCTTTGACTCACTCTCCTCCCCCTTTCTATAAATAGTTTCCCTTTCCAAGCAGAAACAAAACTAAAACTCTTGTGGTGAGCTCCACCTGAGCAGCTACATCATGCTATATTGGGAAGGCAGGAGAAGGAAAACAGCGATTTCTCACTTGAAACAGCAATCTGAAGCCTAGAAATTCAGTGCTCTGTTGTCACACAAGCCTGCTCTCAAGTTGTGGAGAAGTCTCCTATTCTTGGCAAGGAACCCATTATAAGGGTAAACCTCATGCTGAGACTGATCCAGTGCCTGCTAAGGACAGGAGGAATATATCCACGACTGTCTGAGAGTCCTGGAGAGGGTTTTCCTTTCCACATAAGAGGTATATATATATTCTCTCCTAAAAGTAGAAACCACTTTTCCTACTTCAGTGGTAGTGGGAAGATAAAGTCAAATGGATACTGGTTTTCTGTTTTATATAAAGCATCGCCTGACCCTGTTCAACATGAGGTGATATCATGGTAAAAGCATCAGGAGATTTCCAAAACTGTCCCCATTGCTGCTCTTGTGCGGCTGCACCAATAGCAGCCACAGAAAGAAGATAAGGAGATGGGGTCCCACTGATCAGACAACATGAAGGATGTAAAATTTGATATGTCCTTATAAAAAGGCATGTCCTCAGAGGAAAAGTAGAAGCCTTAGATATAAAATACTGATGTTTGTATGAGTGTAAACAGCTAGAAAGGGATCAGAGACTCCACATACAATGCTTCTTTATCTCCTTGCAGAGGCTTCCATCATCACCATATCTGACTTCCTCTGTATTTTCTCTTGGGTACATTTTGGCACTATGTTCCACCCAGTTTCAAATTAAGCAATGATTCTTTTGCCTTTTATTTTGGAACTCTATTTCACAATTACTCCTAGCCAGCTTTTTCAAACCAGAAGTTCACATGTCAGGAAAATGACATAATTGTTTTTCTTTACAGTTTTCATGACATGTTCATAATTTCAGTAGAAAAAGGTCTGTGTTTTTCATTTACCCAAACCATAATTTTATAAATGATTTATTAAATATTTATTGCCTAAGGACTCCAAAAAGTGTTGAAATTCTGAACTTACTCCTTATTTAGTAAGCAGCACAATCTTCAAAATTTAATCTTATTTTGATGGCAAAGACAGCCATTTATGGGCTTCACATCTGCCAGTGAAGAACTAAGGTCAGGTAACTCCAGCGAGTAATAACAGAATTTTCATGCCTAGAAAGCTTTTGGTGGGATTCAACCTTAATTTTAAATTTTAGCATTGTGTTTTACTTGTGTGCTTTCTGCAATCCAAAATGACCTCTTCCTTTGGCATTTGCATGGATTAACGACACAAACATCAAGGATAGATAATTTTGTCAATAATCTTAGCCATGCTTAGCTGTAGTTTCCTACAGAGATTTTTTTAAAAAACCCAAACTGTTCTTTATACAACTTATTTTCTCCTTCACAAATAAAATATTATCTACTTGGAAAATACACATTATGCAGTAGAGCTTTCTATTGAAATGACACAAAAATAATTATTATACTATTCATTTTCGGAGTTCTTCTCGAACAGTTGCAATGTAACTTCTTTACTTTAGTGGATTTACTTTAAGTAAGGTGATACAATTCACTACTTCATTTCACAGCTTCACTGGGGCCATAAAACCAGTATCTCTGCCTACAACAGTCCTTAAGAAATAGAATGGAAATACTTTACTTGCTTATTTTGAAGATAAATATGTGTTTGTGTTTCAGGAGCTGATGTCAGACAAGAGTCTCTGCCAAAATGCACATCCCCTTTGTTAAAATGTTGCTTGCTGATGTGCTAGAAAAGTGTCCAGAAATGAAAAAAATCATTCTCTCAGAGCTGAAATTCTCATCAGTATTTGAGTACAGTACAGTATTCACATAACAGGAATCTTCATGTTCACACTTTGGAGGACATTTCATGCTTTACAGAGTGCATTGCAGGGAGTGCTTGCTCACTGCTGAAATACAGTTCTCTCTCTGGTGGATGCCCTCAGACCAGTAGATTACACATTACAAATCATGTAGGGAACACATTACCACAATACACCAGTGGTCAAAAATAGATCAGTCTCTGATATGACTAATAAGGACATTCTTAATGTACATTAGGAAGGAAATAAAATGAGTGTTGATTCCCCTGGCTCAGAAAGTCAGTCCAGTGTAAATCAGTTAGGTCAGGAAAGGAAAATCTTCCTCTAATGAACAGCTATGGACACTTCTTTCAACCTTCACCTGTTGTTGGAAGTAAAGCGAGATGCAAACAATTGGTCTAAGTGAGGTTTGTGATGGAGAACATTAAAGACAAGAATCAGAAATTAATGGAACAATGAAATAACAATTTGTCCTGATATGATCTCATGTCATATTTTATCATGCAAATAAGGTCAGATTAGCTTGCATTATAGTCAGAAGGACTAATCTGACAGATTTAGCCCAGGTTTCAAATGAGCATTTAATTATGACAAGGAGAATATTACATAAAACAGAGGACATGGGGAACTGTAGCATGTAGGGAGTTCAGTGCTCTTTCAGTGATCATTTATGGAACATTACGATGGAAGGTTTGCACAAATGATGTCTAAAAGAAGTAGATGGAAGCATGCATGTTGAAACTGTGACCTTATCAAATCAGCAAAAGACGAGGATAGCACGTAGGAAAAACTGAGGATGGGATAGCAGGAGTAGAGCAGAAGTCAGTAAAGCAAAGTCACGTACTTGAGGATTAGTAAGAATTTCTTTGATATACTAGGAACTGAACCACAAATGGCAAAGAAGGGAAAACACCCAAGTAAGCTATTTATTTATAAACTGTTGTATAATCACATGTGGAAGTGTCATGAAAAAGGACAACATAATTCTGGGATATAGCAAGCAAGGTATATCCCAGTCAAATCTGAGAAGTAGTGTGAGTATTCCATAGGATATGGGAAAACTTCTTTCCAGACACTAACTACAGTTGCAGTCAATTACATTAAAAAGTTTAAAATTATTACAAACAATCTCAAAATTTAAACTGTAACCAATGCAGAGAAGGGCAGCTAAGGTGAATAGGGAAAGGAAGACACTATGTACTGGAAGAGACTAACAGAGCTTGGCTTCTTTAGCTCAGCAAAGCGAAGGAAGCCTGAGACACCAGATAATTACTTGCTATATAGAGTCAGGAAGCAAGCTGAGAGAAGAAAACACTATTTCAACTTAAAGTTGGCAGAGGAACAAATGGGCACAAACTGACTATTGAAAGCATTCTTGTGAGTCCCTTCCAACTTAGCATATTCTGTGATTCTGTGATTTAGCCTGGAAGTCCTAAGAAGGATGCAAGTTGTCAGAAGAGCTGGTCATGGAACAACTTTCCAAAACCCATTCTTGGCTCTTGCTCCAAGAGAGTTTTAGATCAATATTTGTGTTCAGACTGATGAAGGATTGCATGAAGTTGGATCCTATGACAATAGCAAAGTCTCCACATTAGCCCTGTGTTACTGATTAGTGACAGCAAGAATACTAGAGCAGACTCACTGAAGGAGGGCTCATACCATCTTTAATATTCACAGAGAAGCAGATGATTTCAAGTTATACAAGCTCATTAAATTGCTGCACACTAAACAGATGCCATCAGTTTATCTGCTGCGGGCTTGCATGCGGGGAACGACTGGGATACTGTTGTGCCAGTATGGAGGATTCTCATCATCTTTTCTTTTCCTTACAGATGTTTGTGAGGCTTTAAATGTGACAGTCTCTCCTGGACCAACAGTGCGATACTTTGAAGGAGATAATGCTACCCTGTATTGCCACATTTCTCAAAAGAGAAAGACAGACAATTTGCTGGCTGTGCGGTGGGTCTTTGCTGCATCACCTACACAGGAGCATCTGATGATCAAAATGACAAAGTTTGGATCTGTCCAGTATTATGGAAATTATACTCATCATTTCCATAAGCAAAGACTTCATCTTCTTAAAGAAAAATATGGAACTATGTACAGATTTCTTATTTTAAGTCTCCAGCAAACAGATCAAGGACGTTACATATGCAAAGTCCAGGAAATCGGCAAACACAGGAATAAGTGGACAGCATGGTCAAATGGCACAGCAGCTACTGAAATAAGAGGTGAGAGGCTACTGATTTCAAGTCTATCATTTTTTCTTGTCCTGTGATCCCTTTTTTTTCTTGCAATTTCATCCATAAGACATTTGAACTTACATTATATTTATGTGTAATCTGTGGGTATGAGAAGAAAACCTAACACTCAACTTCTTTACTTACTTATTACAATTTAAACATTATTTGGCTCATAATAAAATGTGAAGAAGTGAGAAGGTTGGTAGAAGATAGTCTATTTCCATTGCCTTTTATCAGAATAGCAGTAAGTAAAACTCCTTTTCATTCAGCAACAGGTCTCTGGTGGGTTGACCTTGGCTGGACACCAGGTGCCCACCAAACCACTATATCACTCCCCTCCTCAGCATGACAGGAAGGGGAGAAAATAAGATGGAAAAAAACCACTCACAGGTCAAGAGAAAAGCAGTTTAATAAAGCAAAAGCAAAGGCCCTGCACAGAAGCATGGGAAAAACAAAAGAATTTCCCATCAGCAGGTGATGTCCAGCGACTTCCCGGGAAGCAGGGCTCCAGCACGCGAAGCCTTCCCACCCCTTCTTAGCTTTTATTGCTGAGCAGACATCATATGGTAGGGAATATCCCTTTGATCAGTTTGGGTCAGCTGTCCTGGCCATTGCTATTTAAATACAGAGAGACAGAAACAGGAGAGAAATTAACTTATTTTCTGAAGAATTTGCAGTGGGTCTGTCAGAAATAGAAGCATTATATTTTATTTATTTTATTATATTTTATGTATTTTATTATGTTTTAGGTCTGTTTTGCCTCTCTCTCTTGTTACTTCCCTTGCTCTTAGTTCTAGTCTAGCAGCAGTTGGTAAGTAGCACTTCTAGTATCACTTCTGTACTATTGTTTATACCACTTGTAGCCAGAAAGCAGCGCTAGAAAAGCATTGACCAGCCTGCTGATATTGAACTGCAGATAAAATGACCAGCAATGAGTGATGTATGTGAACCAAGTTGAAAATGATCCATCTCTTTGGGATGGGTCATCTCAAATCTTATGCCACCACACCCACGCTTTTAGAGATGGGTGAAACTGGATTTAGAGAACAGACTCCAGGCCATTAGTGTTAGCTGGCAAACTACCCCTCACTTGTGGCTTTATAAACAGAAAAGTAGATTTCCCAAAGGGTCAACTCTAGAGATAATGCCAGGAAGCAGTTAAGAGTGTTGTCTCATTCACTGAATGATGTAAGTTCTTAAACGCCTATAGTGAAACATATGGATTTGTCAGGAGTGCTTGGAAAGGGAATGGCATGTTCCAAGTAAGTGGCAGCAGAAGAAAAACCAATATAAAATGTTGTTACACCCCCTGTCATACCTCTCCTCGCAAAAAGCTACTCTGCATCTTTCATAGCTTTTCAGGCCACTGCTAATTATAATGTAGAAATATCTCATTGCTCTTCATAGGTAAAGTGTGGGGTTTGGATCAGTTTAGCCATTGCAAAGAAGGAAATCTGTAACTTTTCGGTCCAGTCCTTAAATATTATTTGGCCCTGATTTCTAGTATGAGTTATGAATACATAATCAGGGTAAGGATTTGAGACTCATGACTTCATAATTTTCACATTGTCTGCTCAGCTGCATTACTTCTCTCTGCTTCAAATGTGACCCAAAGCAGAGCAGGAAGGCTGAGACAAGGGAGAAGGCTGGCCAACCTGTAGACTACACCAACAGTATGCCCTGTGGGGATCTGAGGAAAACACCACAACCACCCTGGCCTCCCGAAAAGGCATTTATTCTAATTCTAAATCCAGATTAAAGATACCAAACAATATTGGAAAAATGACATATCTTTAAATGCCGTAGCAACTGTTTTACTGCTAAAGCCACTTTACTGGAAACAAAGGACTTTACTAGCATTCTGCTAATGCACTGTGAGTGTACAGAACTTACTCCACTTGGAAGGGAAGGCAACTCTTTTCCAGGTAGTGATAAAGTTTCCAGTTTTCCTAATAGTAACAGTTGGGCTTTTCAAGGAAATTTTATTCCAAACACATTTTGTATTTTATATTATGATCAGTTATACTTTTTATTGCAAAGGGATTTACTTACATTACAGTTAGATCCAGGATACAACAAAAGGAGCAGTACAAATTGCCTGAAGCATCTGGATACTTAAATTGTACTGCTTGTGCTTTTATCAAATAAGGTAACAGTGTTCCAGCACATCACAGTTGCTGTTGCCTAACATTTTGTTCCAGTTAATGTGTCTGAACTTAACCTCAAATTCAAAATAGTATCTTTCTGCTAAAGCACCAGGCGAATTTCTCGAAACTTTGCACATCAAGTGGATGTAGAAATAGCGTAGTCCCTTTTTTTTTAGTTCACACAAGATGAGGAGGTCACTGTGCAAGACAGAAGTTTCCAGACAGAAAACGAAAGGGTCTTTCTGCTTCTTCAAGATGTAACTTGCTCTGGAAGCAAGCTGATGGCTGGATCTGTTGTATCTACTGCTATTAATTTATATTGAGATTTTGTTATTTGCTAGCAAGTTTGCAGGTGTAAATTTGTGTAGGCAAAACAAGAAGTTGCAAATATATTTTGTTGAAACACATTAATTTTTACAAATACACATACTGGAGTTGTGGAAAAATAATTGAGTTATAGGCTACAGTTCCTTAATGTCTAATGATGGCAGTTAAAAGTTTAGCTACATATCTGGCTTCTACTTTAAGGACAGAATACATTTCTTCAGAAAATAAGCCTCATTGATGGAGATGGAGTCAACTACAGTACTTTGCAGTGCTTTCAGTAGGTCCAGCTAAAATTTGAACTGTTGCAATTTGCCCCTTTAGATGTGGTGAATACAAGACATCAAATAGGATTTATAACAAGGCTATTGTTAAATCTTGTCAGTAAACCCAGGAGAAATCCATGTGCTGATGTTGCCAAGAACTGTTTCCTACTTCAGCCCCTTCAGCCTCAGCAACATCCCCTCTCTAAGCTAAGGCAAACCTTTCGTCATTTTACCAAAGGCACCTTCTCCTTCCCTGGGCTTGTGTGGTCAGTGTTAGCCTAAAACCAAATTAGTGGTCTTCATTATAGTACAGAATACATCAGAAAACAGTTTATTTGAGAAAAAAAAATAATAAAAAAGGAGACATCAGAAAAATGTTCTCCCACTCTCTTCCTATCAGAAAACTCAAAATAATGAATAGTCTTCTTGGAACAATATACAGCACCTCCAAACCATGATTTACAGTCAGGTAATTCCTCAGGGTACTGCACATCTCTTAGGAAGAGCAATACATATTCCAAATGGTTTACAATCCAAGAGAAGAGACTACCCCTGTTGGGGGGAAAACATGGAAAATTAGACAGTCCAGCTATAATCTTATTAGCATGGACAACAAAATCAAGTAGATCAGAACAACCTGTCTTGTTGGGAAGCTTATGTGTCAGAATTTGCCACAGAAGAAAGCCTGAGTTCTGTTAAAAATTAGTTACATGTGACATTGTATAACAGTAAAAACATAGTAAAATACAGGAATGCCAGACTTTTTTTCCCTCAGAATGAACAAACACCCTTTTTTTTCCTGGGAAGTTATTCTGAAATGCTTGGCAAAAATCTACACAGGTGATACTTTCATGAAACAAATTAATAGATTTGTTAAAATATTCAGGATGAGCTTCCCATCACAACTGAACAATTTCATTAATCCTAAAAGTTCTGTATCCACTGAGTTAGCCCTAGACCTCACATCCCTTCAGGGCACTCCTTAATGAATTCCCTTTCCAGTAAGATACTTGTTCTTTAATGACTTGCCATATGAAACCCTCTTGAGAAGTTCAGACCTCATTGGTAATATGGAGGACATCACTGGACTCCTATTCTATTACAGAGATTGTACAGAGATTGCTAGCAGAAAAAAAATCATGGATTAACATAATTGACATCATCTAATCTGATGTAATTAAAAATATCAGCATGCATAAACAATCTGGCTGAGGAGAGCAGAGAGAGTTTTGAAACTGATCCAGCATTCAGAGTATTTTTATTCTAGCGTTATGTTGTACAACTGTTATGATGTTGATAGTCATCCATCCTCCTGAAAGAGAGAGGACAACTCTATGCAAACTTGACAGCTATTTTCCTTCTTAATTGAGCTAGAACATAGTCATTCGGTCAGCCCTTTTTCTAGGCTATTGAGGTGAGCTGGTACAACTTGTGGGCATGCAGTCTTTATTCTCAGGAAAAAACTGCCACATACAGGCTGGGGAATTATGCTGGCTGAGAACTTGAGCTGTTCTGAACTCAGCAGTGAATGGCCATTGTGATACAGCAGTGACAGAGCAGTTTATATTAGTTAAGATGTTCAGCCTACTCTGTTCCTACATTTGAGTCAGTGACACTGAGGATAAGTAGATATGTTCTGCTTTACAGCTCAGGTATGCAATTTCTGAAGCATTTGAACAGTTTCAAAAAGTCCATGCATGCATGGGTGGGTTTTTTCAGATAGGTAGGTATCATGCCCGTGTATATTTAAAAGGCACAGCATGGAAGCCGACTTTTGAAGAAAGTAAAAAGAAAAAGAACTTTTGAGCAGTGCTCTTACTTTGGGTCTCTCACTCTGTTATTTGGGTGCTGTTGTAGGAATTACAGAGCAGTTTGACCTGCTAATGGACATTTACAAGGGCTTTGGAAGGAAGGCAAGTTGAGCAAGATCGAGGCCTACAGAGTCAGTCCTGAAGCTGGGGAAATGCTATCACAGAATCACAGAATCATAAAATGGGTTTGGTTGGAAGGTATCACAATGGGCCATGTAGTCCAAGCTTACTGCTCAAGCACTGTCATCCTAGAACACATTGCACAGGATAGTGTCCACCTGGTTCTTTAATATCTCCTCTGAGGGAGACTCCACAACCTCTCTCTGCAATCTGTTCCAGTGCTCGGTCACCTGCACAGTAAAAGTTCTTCCTCACATTGAGGTGGAACATCCTGTGCATCGGTTTCTGCCTGTTGCCTCTTGTCCTATTGCTTGGCACCACTGATTAGAGCCTGGCTCTATCCTTTTGACACTCTCCCTTCAGAGACTTACATTGATGAGGTCCTCTGTCAGTCATCTCTTCTTGAGGCTGAACAAGGCAGCTCCCTCAGCCTTTCCTTGCGAGAGAGATGCTCCAGTCCTTCAAGCATCTTTGTTGCCCTCCACTGAGGCAACAAACCCAATCCATGAGCTCCATGTCTCTCATGTACTGAGGATCCCAGAACTGGACAGAGCACTGCACTGATGCATGGGGTTATTCTTCCCCAGGTGCAGGACCCTGAATTTGCCTTTGTTGAATTTAAGATGGTTAAGGACCTGTCAAGGTCCTTCTGAAGGGCTGTGCAGCACTCTGGGATAGCAGCCACTCCTCTCAGCTCTGTGTCGTCAGTGTGTTGGCAGAGTTTACTTCGGCGCCAAACATTGCTAGAACGACTTCCCTGTTTTTCTAAAAGTGCTGTGCCTGATGTGGCTGGCTCCCAGTCAGTTCTCAGGAAGTCTTCAGATCTGTGTCCTTCACCAAAGTTGCCATTCTTCCCATTATTTTTTTTAACTTCACTTCTAAGACATAGAAGTACACTATAGTGTTAAAACTTCTTACTTGTAACTGTAAGGGAAAATAAATTCTCATTCTCTTGAGTGTAAGTTGTTTATCTCCTCTCTCAGAAGTAGTATGGTTTGGTCCAGAAACACAAACTGTAACCCTAGAGGTACAAGTTCGGAGTAGCAGAAACACGGAGTCAGAATAAAACCAGCTACATACAACATTAATGGCAGCTTTTCCCCTGCTGTACTCAGACCATCTCCACAAAGCCATTACAGACCTTACAAGCACATCACCACGCTATTCCAAGGCCTAGGCTCTTCTAATGCATTGTTTCAATTCTCTTCCTATTCTTCACTGCATTTAACTTTTGATTGAAAAGCCACACATTGCATCTTGCCCAGAATAAGAGGACAACAAGGAGGCAGTCTCAAACCATATGGCTCTTGTGGAGTGTGTCAAGCCATATAAGATTTGCTGGAAGACATGTCTACAATGCTGTTGTGTAAATAGTTTCATTGAAAGGTAATTATCCTGTGACATAAAGCAAGAGTGCACTAAAGCAGAATACATTTACTTCAAGAAGTCCAAACTTTTTATGCCACACAATTTTTCAATTCTTGTCACTTTTTTTTTTCCAGTGATTTCATCAAAATCTTCTGATCATCCCACTTTCAAGAAAAATCATGAAGCTTGGAAATTTTTTGAAGGTAAAGATGCATGTAACTGCTACTGCTTCTATACACATTGTTAGTTTTTTCAAATACTACAGGACAACTAAAGTGCCCCAAATCACGACCAATTTTGCTAGTTCCTGTGCAAACCTAGGCCTTGCCTGAGAATCCATCCCCCAAAGTACAAGCACACCACTTATAACTGCAGTGCTTCCTGCCAGGCAGGAATGCTGGCTTACAGGATGGCCCTGATACTGTGGAGAGCCTTGCTTTTTAAACCATAATTTATAAACTATATTGTTGCACTGCATAAGGGGAACAAAACACTGAACTGCGGGTCAGGGGTCCCGTTCCAGCAATGCTATTTTCTGCAAGAACACTTGACCTCTGAGGCTTAGTTTCCTCTCTGTGAAGCAGGAAAGAAGCCAATATTCCCCCCTAAGGACGTTTCAAGACATTAATGGGTAGAGCATCCTTAAAGTACTCTAAAAAGAGTTCTAGTAAAAGCAGAAATGAGTAATTAAAGATTTCTTTTCCTTCTGAACAAAATACTTCATCTTGATCTGCCACAGAACAACTCCTGTCAGCTCCACTGGGAATGTGATACAGCACCTGAATGAAAGCCATAAAGGGAGACTGAGTCTGTAGTTTGAAAAAGAAAAAAAAAGCATACAAAAATTTCAAACCAGTACTGCCAGCAGAAAAAGCATTTGCAGATTTTCTTGCCTCTTTCCCAGCCACTCAGCACTCCCCCCACTTCTACTTTTCTTGTTGTATTGTTTGGGTGTTTCTTTTTTTCTCTTTTGTTAAAAAAAAAAAAAAAAAAAAAAGTACAGCTGTTTGAACTGGGAAATAATCCAACTGAAGTCCTTTTGGTTTTTGGGTTGCCACTCAAAAAAAGAAAAGGAACAACCCAAACCAGTCCTTCACTCTCTCCAGAAAGTCAGATCTCATGGGTGTAGTTACACCTATTTGCATTTATGGAGATTTCAACCAAATTTTAAACTAAGCAGGAAAGTTTCAAGAGTGTTAAACTATTTCTGAACTCTAATCCTACATCTTTAGGGCCAGAGTCTATTTAGATCTTGTAGATGTAAATTTTTTCTATCCTGTCATCATGAAGAATACAGCTCTAACACTGATTGTCATCTGTGCTTGGTTTTCAGACCTATATGTGTATGCAGTGTTTGTGTGTTCCATAGGAATCATCAGCGTCCTCCTTTTTACACTTGTCATTCTCTGTCAGTCACTTCTGAACAAGAGGAGATCCACAGGTGAGTGAGATGTAATTCTTGATGACTGCAAAGCCCTTATCAAAAAGGGGGCAGAGGTGGGGGAGAAGAGAATGCAGGAGAAATAAATATTTCCTTGCCTTGATTGTAATTAAAAAAAAAAAAATTGCTAGGAAGAAAACTTCTTTCAACCAAACTAGAACAAAGTCATTTTCCTCCCTTTGAATAGCTATTTCACTTTACATGTTTTCAAAAATCTGTCACCTTTGCACAAACACAAGTTAAAGGCTGTTGGAACTTCTTTCAAAGGAGACCAAGTGCTGTATCATTAAGTTGCATTCTGACCAGAATCTAACATTTTGCATGAGTCATGTTTCTGCACATGTGTAGAAGGGTTTCAAAGCAGTCTTGCACTGTTCTGTTTTAATCTCTCTTCCTGAGTAGATGTCAATATTCTTGGCAATATGAGGGTTTTTATTAGTACTCCCTCATTTCTAGCCTTTTTTGAAACTTAAGCATCATTTCAACATTCAAATCTGTCTTTTCATAATAATCTTTCAAGACCAAGGATTATTGTTTCATTCTTCTCTTCCTCCAAGAGAGTTTCTCAAAAAGGCTGCACCTACATCCAAGAAGTCCTGTTGTAAACAAAAGTGCTGTTTCAGATCTGTGCAGTAACCAGTGCAAGCTCTACTTTCATTTCAGTTTAAAAGTGGTTTATTTGGAGACCTCACACAAGCTTCAAGGATGAGATACCAGCATGCTTAGCAGCCACCATGTTAGAGGAGAGCATAAGGACCACTTCTGAACAGAAGGTTTCAGAAGGAGCTTGGTTAGTGATTTGTCTTGTTAATCACAGGAGAGAATCATGACTTTGGTGCCTCTGCAGCACTGCACACATACCACAGAGGAATGAGTGACTCAGATATACAAGTGAGGAGACATGTAAACCAAAAATAGATGTATAGAGAAGCCTTTGCCTGACCACAAACACATTTCAGCCTGTGGTTCCATCTTCCTGGTAATGCGCTTAGTAGAGTAACTCTGATTCTAACAGACCCCAACAACTCTGCTTGCCAAGAGGAAGGAGCAAGATCGATGTTATTCTTCCTACCCTGCTAAGTGATGACAAAGGTTTTGTGCCAAGGGAGTACCCACACTTAAGTATGTTGGTCATGGTGAGTCACTTTGAAGCCACAAGCAATAGACTGATGCATCACAGTTTTTCTTTAGCAGACCCAGTTCTTGGGTTAGAATTCTTGCTTCTGTTTTTGTCAGTTTACGCTGGTGTAAGCATACAAGCAGCTTGGAGGAAATGCCTCTTTACATTGAACCAACACCAGTTAAATATAGAAATAATACACAATATAGAATAACCTCTATAGTTCCCCCACTCCTGCCACAGAGACAACAACAGCTTCCCTTCCTTCTCCCACCACTCCAGCTTCCCCTCCCCAGTTCCTCAGCCCAAAGAGCACAAGGAGGATGATGTGCTCTGCCCCACCCCAGCCCCACATAGATGGAGTGGAGGCAGATACCTAAGCACAGGGAGAAGAGGGAAAGCTGCCCAACCCTCTACAAGAACAACCTGGCCTGATCTGGAACATAGTGGAACTCATACCTGAACTAACAGCTGGAATTTGCTGTAGATGAAGCTGGAGAGTAGTTGAGTCACCATCTCTGGAGGCACTGAAAAGACATGTAGATGTAACTCTTTGGGACATGGTTTAGTGATGGACTTGGCATTGTCAGGGTTAATGGCTGAATTCAATGATCTTAGAGATCTTTTACCTCTAACATCATATAATTTAAACCTAAATGATTCTGTGATCCCTCTGGAATCTCTCTCTGTGAAACCTGAGAAGATCCTGGCTCACCTCAGGGTTCTGGCGTGAGAAAGGTGACACTGAAGCCAGTTCCTCACCGAGGGAGCTCTCAGTTTGACTAGGCTGGTACTGCATCTGGGGCTGGCCCGTAGCACAGGGAGCTGTGGGAAGCTGTGGGAAGCAGCAATGGTTGCAGCTGGCAGTCCCTCTGTGGCTCCAGTAGAAGCCTTTGCCCATTTGTTACAGGAGTGATTGCTCTTCCTAATTCCTGGTTCAGAGGACTGGAGGATTTACTGCAGGGCAAAAAAAAAACCCCAAAAAACATATACCTAGAGATGCTCAAAAGTATGTCAACACTGTACATGAGCTTCTGTTTCTCCCAAAGAATCAGGCCTATTGTTCTCCTGTACATTTAATAAAGGCCTGACAAGTAGATGGAAGCACTGCCTTGCCTGGCTTAGGCATGGCTCCTGTGTTAGCCCCAGCTCCTAGTGTTCTCAGCTCCCCTTTCCTTAGGACCAAAATGCACCTCCTAGGAGCTGTGTAGCTCTTTTGGAATGGGAGTATTTAGGTAAGACCAAATATGAAAACTGTCCCGTAGAGACGGGGGTAGTCATGAGTGCACTATTGTCTGGTTTTTGTGGTCCTTTGAAGGACAGAGAATAAGAAGGGAGGGGGCTGTCTATGTTGTATTCAACTTCTCATCATGGCCTAGGGGTGCACCCTCTCATCCTTCTGAGAAATAAGTTGGCAGAAGGTCGAACAGAAGAGCCGGAGTCTGTCCTCTGAGAGCAGCATAGGAGCCACAAAGCCACAAAAGAGCATCTTAATAACCCTGGCTCCTAAAAGGCTGCAGTGGGGGCAGCTGCCCTTGCTCAGGACTACTGACTCAAAGGAATATGAAGTAGAAGGATTTGCACAGCTCCCATACAGGGCTGTCAGAGACAGGATAGTGGCTGGACTGGACCTCTGATCTGATCCCAGGAGGCAATCCCTTTATGCCTGTGGCCATAATCTAACTTACATTAGGAACAGCAGTGGCTCCTGTGGGTGAATGGTTTATTTCAGGCTTCTGGAAATAAATACAGGCACCACAAGGGAAATAAAAGTCTTCAAAGTAAAATTACTGGCCTGCTGTGCTTTTCCTTAGCAAGCTGTCTTTTGGCTGGGCTGACCACTGGAATGTATGTTGCCCAGGACTTTCACAGCAGATTTTGTTGTTGTTTGATACATTCTCCTCTCCCAAGCCTAGCTATTGTCATTGAGTCAGATTACAATTTAATGCCCAGTATAGTGACAATCAGTAGCTCTCCCAGTGTAACCATCTGGCAGTTCCACAGTCTCAGCAACACAGGTCTATCTGCAGTGCCCATTTGTAACTCATAAACTGTGTTGATATGAAGCCACATCTTCCTGTTTTTCTTTTTTTTTTAACAGTGAAGCATTACCTGGTGAAATGCCCCCAGAACAGGTAGGAGATTATACATCTCTTTACTATAACCAAAGGCACCAGTTCTGGTTTTGTTTTGCTAAGTATGCTGAACAAGTGTTTTCCAAAATGTTTACAGAAAGATAGAGTCCCAGGTCCATGACTCATGAATGTGCCTGCTGTGTATGAAAAGGAACATCTGCTGGGCTAGCTGTAGGTCCTGAAGGTGCTTTAGTGACAAGCCTCTTCTTGATGCTCTGCTTTGCTTATTGAAGCCAACTTTTATCTTGTGTGACTTTCCAGGGTTTCCCAGCACCTCACTGGATGACTTACGCCATCCACATAAATAGAACAAATCTCAATGTCACCTTGTTATTCCCACACCCAGGAACAGGGAGTGGGGCTAAAGCTGATTTTCAAGGTCCACAGTCTATTCCCAGCTGAAGACTCCAAGTGATGGGAAAAATTCTACTTCTGCTGCAGTCATTAATCACTGTCCCTTTAAATACCACCAGCTGCCAAAAGTTTTTGGTGGTGTGGTGCTATAAAACTGATTTCTATTGCACGATTTTCCTGAGATATGCATTGTGCTGGAACTGCAGTAAAAAAATATGACAAGTATTTTACAAACAAAAAAGATGAAAGAGGGGTGCCTCATAACAACACAGAAGCACAGCTGTTTCCCAGTTTTCAGTGACATAAACCATGTGTTTCTAGCCTTGTAGTTTAAATCCAGTACATCTTTGTATCACATACTGTTTCTCATAGTATCTCTAGATACTACAGGATTCGATGCCAAGTATAGCACACAGCAGAACCTCCAAGAGTGTGATTTTTAGTGCATTCTCATGGGATTATCACTGAATTCAATCTAACCAACACTCAGATGGAAGTGAAGTCACAACAAAGCTGCACAGAGTTCAGGAGAGGCCAGTACAAACTGCAACTTTCATGTTATTCATGGAAAGATCTTTGTTCTGTGACCCTGACCAGCTATTGCACCACACCAAAAATTCACATAGACAGCTCAGCAGTTTTAATTTTGCCCTGGATGTTTTCTCTTTCCCCCTTCTTTATTAGCTGCTGGGACAAAGTTGGAGTTACAAAAGCAAGCAAACAAAGAAAGAATGGCGAGGGGGAGGAAATCAAAGTAGATTGGTAGAGAACACAAAAAGAGAAGAAAAATAAGACCTGGTGGAAAAAATGGAGCATGGCAGTTGGATAAAAAGACTTGTACTACAAAACCTACGTCTCTGGGAATAGATGATGTAGCAGTGATACTACTGCGAACACTACAGTTAGGAGACTGAACAGTAGGGAGAAAAGAAGCCACTGTGATTTCTTCGTTGTAAAACAGAATCTCCAGAAGTAAAAGAAATGCATGACTTTATATAGACAAAAATACAGTTTTGTGTATTTCAGTGTGACAAGATATGCTAATGAAATCCTTGATCACACAAATGCATGGATAAAATGTATTGAAATCAGGGCTTTAAAATTAAATAGCTATGAAAATTATACCAGTATCATAATTTTAATTATGTTTTGCACATGGTACCATTTATTGTCCACTCTGTTCAAAACACAAACCGTTAATTCCTTTGAACTCATTGCTCTTCACCTGCACATTCCTTATCTTGGAACTTATTCCAACACATTTAGACCCAAAACTCAGTGTCTAAATACCCATTAGGCCAAACTGATTAAATAATTTGCGTGAGATACTTGCATTTTAAAATTACTATGCTGTGCAAAATTTAGCCTTGATTAGAGAGGCTGAGCTCAAACTCCCTTAGTGATATTTCAAACCACAGAGCAGAATCCAGCTTCAAAATTACATTAATAGTCTGGTGTCTAAGAAATGTCTGTAATCCCACTGTAGTAATACCTAAGCATCTTAAAATATTTTATGTCTTGACATCAGAATGGTATTTTTACTTTTAATTGGAATCTGAAGCACAACAGGCTAAGTGATTTGTCCTAGGTCTCACAAAATGGCAGTGGTAGAAAAGAAAATTAAATCCAGATTTCCTGAGTAGAACAAAACAAATGTTAGGTTTCGGTTTGCTACTTGACCAATAACAAATTAAGGGAAAAAAATAAGTTCACCAAAACCCATTTCTCTACCACATTTTAAAAATAACTATCTACATAAGAAAGTACTGTTATTTTTGGTTTTCCAAACCACCTAATTCCATTTTTGATGTTTTCTTTTCTTTAAATATCCTCCTTATTATTATTTTTCTTGTTATTGGATCGTTTTGTCAGTTTTCAAATCCAGAAACCACCAGGAGGTGTAGCTTTGAAAGCAGGATTTTTTTCTTTCCTTTATATTTGTTTTGGCCTAAACTTTCTAGTCCTTCAGTGACTGCTCTTCTGGAGACAAATAATTTATAATTTGAGATTAATAAAGTGCTCGCCTCAGAAAGCTGTCCACCTTGAGGCCTCGGTTCCACAGTGCCAGTCTGACATCATGGGAACAAATTTGCTAGAACAAACCAGAACCAAGTACCCAATCCATCCCTGGCACCTTTCCATGCATCTCCCCTATCTGGAAAATATATAAGCAGCTTCTAGTTCATTCGAGTGAGTTTTTTGTCATCCGCCTGCAGACCTTTGACATGGGAAAATAGCTGATTTTGATGACAATGGGAAAAGTTCCAAATCCTAGACTCTAATGGGGATAGTATAGCAAAAATTCTAGGAGTTTCCCAGCTCTTGGAACAGCCATGACCTCCAGGGAAGCTGCTGTCTGGGTTCCATGATTATTAGATACCTTTCACAGGTTATTCCCACAAACTCTTGTATTTTTCTTGCTCTCTAAATACTCACTAGATCCTTCAAGAAATGCACAACGTGACACTGTTGAAATAGAAACCAGGAGGCTGGAGGAGGAGCTGGAGATAAAAAAACTTTCCTTTTAGACATAGAACAAGACAAGCTCACAAAGAGGCAGTGTTTCAGAGCCAAGGAGTCTTTTCTGAGCCTCCTTGTTTGGTTTGAGGAGCCCAGTTCTAAGATAGCAAGTATAGTTATTGCATCTCCCAGAATTACTTAACCCTGTATGGCCCTGGCATTTAAAAGAAACACGTAAGTCACAAATAAATGTCTCTGTAGCTTCTCTTTTTCATTGGCAATGCAGGAATAATAACTAATGCAATGAATTGACACTATGCCTTTTCATCTATTGTGCTTAAAGTAGCTGGATCAGAACAATAGTATCTTTAATCTATGCATTTGCCTTAATTACCTTGGATTATTAAACCCCAAAACATTTTAAAAAATCATTCTTACCCCTTTTTGGTATTCCTTCTTTGCAGTTTGCAGTTTGGACAAAGGAGCCAGGCAGGACAGTTTCATTTCCTGCTGTTTTTAAACCATTTTATGTCTTGATTTTAATATACAAACAAATAGTTATTATGGGGTAAGTTCATAACAGTGGAAGAAGACTTTGAAATTGGTTCAATGCAGTCCTTAGTTTACATAACTGGTGTGATTTATTTATAAATTGTGAACGTATTTTACTTTTTCAAACCTTTTTAGAAAGTTTGGCAGCAAACCTATGTTTTTCACTGAGTATATGAAACAGAACTCAGGAAAATCAGCAAAACAGAGTCTTACTGCAATCTACACAAGTGTAAATCTAGAGTGATTTTACCAATGGAAGTGACATTAATTTGGATTTACAACTGTGTAAAATGGTAATATCTGTTATTTTGTTGTTCTTGTGTGGGCAATAGCTGAGACATCTAAATTTTCATTAAGTCTTTGGCCCAATTCGAATATTTTATTCTATTAATATAAAGAGAATGTTTCATTATGCAAAAGAACCTGGAGAGGAATAGCAACTTGGGATGAATTATTTAAAATTCAGTGAAACCAGTGTTATCAGTGTTATGACTATGGAGACTTTGGCTGGATCCCATTGTGTGGTGGAACTCACCAGCACAGAACAGAAAGGTCCCCACAACCCTACTGCGTTAATCTTTGCCAGGGTGAGCCCCAGGTCAGATGCAGCTGAGCAACAACTGCTTACCAAGTCACCTCCATCACTGCAGTCATCCTAACTAACTGGTTTACATTCTCTTCCCACCCCAGCTGTAAGTTAGAGTTTCTTTCATTACCAATTAAGCCAACACAGTTTTATCTCCCTTTAGCAGCAAGCTGGGAGCCCCTGCACAGTCAGTTACTCAGCTGACATGCGGTGACACGAGCGCTGCAACCTGACTGCATATCCAAGCCCTAGATATTCAAAGCAGGATTTATGACCTCAGGCTTTGTGAGATGATAAGGGTAAAAAAATCCAGACTTAGAGGGTGTTAGACTGTAATAGTCCAAACACAGAAGCTCTCTTGGATAGGAATCTGTTGAAATATAACTTGTACTCTTCCCTCATAGCAACCAGCACTTTTTCAGCATAGGTGTATTGGAGAATGCCCAAATTAGAGACTGGGGCATAGTTTCCCCATTTTATATTCCCTGAGCATGCTGGCCCCCTTGAAGAAGCTAGGTTTTGCAAATGTGGGTTTGTGAGCTGCCTGAATACATGCTGCATGCTCTCCTGGCCTGCTGGCCCGTCAGCCAGTCTTAGCCCAGAATCTGCACTGAAGATTTCGCTTTTCTGAACACTCTCCATGAGAGCTTATGCAAGTCACTTAACCTGTCTGTGCCTCTGGCCCTCAAGGGCAGGTGGGTAAAAGTTCATCCTGGGTGCAGCAGTGGGATCATATGTCTTTTTAAGGAATAGGTGCTATGAAAGGAGTCTTGCTTAAACCTGACAGTTTGCATTTGCTGTGCCAGGATGAATCAAACTCTATGAGTTTCTCTGCCACACTGTATGGCTGAAAAAATGTCAGACCCAGGGCATTTCAAACCCCCATAAGAGGTTTTTCATTATATCCCCAGATCACAATCCAGATTATTGGGCAGGGATCCTCACAAGTGGAAGGTGGTGTGTTTGCATGAACTCACTAGGACAAACTGTCTTTGCCTCCATTGCCTTCATTTCCCCCCCCACTTACGGGCCTGTGCTTTGCAGTTCCGGGGAAACAGTCACCAGTGTGACAAGCCTGTCTCCTCTACAGCCTAAGAAGGTAAAGAAAAAGAAAGAGAAAGAGAAACTGGAGCAGCCACCAGCCATCCCAGCAAAAGGTATGAAAACAGAGATGCAGCGGTATTTCAAGTCCTGGGCACAACCATGGAGGAACAGGAGAGCATGGGATGTCAGGACTCCTGCACTCTGCCACTGACTTTGCCTGTAAGGTGACCTGTGCTTGCTCCCATTACTGGGGAAAGAAATGTCCTGTGCCTGCTGCTGGAACCAGGCTCTCAACTCCCTGTAGCTTTAGCCATTGTGAGAAGCTACTCTCTCAGTCCAAGCAAGAGGTCTCAAGCTCCCACTAACCAGAGGGGAGAGAGAAGCCTCTGTGGCAATATTCATCCTGCTCAAAGAGAAGATTAAAGTTAGGCAAGTTGAAATTACATGTTGGAGGTATTTTGAGGGAAGGCAGCACATTGCACTCATAAAATTGCAGGTGCACTTGGGAAGTCAAGCAAGCTGAGCAGATAAAGACCAGTCCCTTGGGGACCTCACTTTCAAAGAGGATTTGTGACACTGGGGCTGGTCTCACAAACTCTTGGGTGTACTTTCAGAGCATCACTGCCAATCCTAAGCCAGTGGGAGACAGGAGGGAAAGGACCTCAAGGTTTACTGTGGGTTAGATCACTAGTGATCAGTTCTCAATGGGTATATTTGCTGTATCATTTGCATGCAAACAGCATGTCTTGCATATCAGATTCTTTAATATTTTGGATTTTTCTAATACATGAGCATTATGCTTCATTGTAAAATATGTTATGTGAAATACAGTTAATCTCTGCTATAAATACATGTATTTGTTCCTAATTTGCTATTAATCTCTAATTTATAGATTGCTAATACATATACTAAAAATTACAGGAAATGATAATAATATGAAATGATCCCTTAAAATTTATTTTATAGCTCCAATTGCCAATAATTTCCCTAAGCCCAAGCTCTTGAAACCTCAAAGAAAATTGATCCTGGTAAGTACTTTTCTATGACATCATTTTCTGCATATTCTTCTCTCTCAAAACAAATGCTGTAATGTTGCCAGAACTCTAGATGCATAAACTATAAATTGGCTTAAAAATCATCCTGGTCCTAATTTTTTTTTTAAGCAATATTTTTTCAAGTGAGGAATTATCTTGGCTCTCTTAATTTTGAGCATTACGTTATACTGGATTATGTTTTCCAGCTTTCTAACAGTTGTCGTGTCTACAAATTTAGCCTGTTCTTAAATGAAACCTGCTATTGATTCTTACATGCTTCTGGCAGCTGGTGCTTTGGAAAAAGTACTAGTTACTGACAGAATCATAACTGTACTGGTTATGATTATACAAACTGCTTTTGAGACTTTTCAAGTCAGAAATGATGAGCCTGATTCTGCACTACACTGGTGTAAGTCAGGAATAACTTGAATTGCAGGAATATTATGTGTTTGTATAGTTCATACTAAGGAAAAAAAACCTCATGTGACAGTTTCTCTTGAATATGAGTTTCTGTTTGAAAAATACCCCTGCAGATACATGCCAGACAAACCAGATAGACGGTGAGATGTTTCTCTGCTTTTGTAACAAATCAGTACCTGGACAAGACATGCAGCAGTAATAGAGACACAGTTTTACACCAGCTAACTTCAGCTCCCTACATAGCCAATAGAAAGAGAGACAAGTTAAAGTAGGAGCCTGATGCTCCCAGTTATTCAGGCTACTGCTCTGAATTGCCTTTGGGGAATCTTTTCTCCCTTCTCTGATAATAGAGAGAGAGCCCAGAAAAACTAACTCTCTAACTTAGGTGAAGGTGGGTGCCTAAAATTAGGCCACTGGAATAACCCAAATGCCATGGGATGGTTTCATTTTCTGATGAGGGTTAGAATTGGGAACCTTCCCACCAATTAAATAACCTCTACCCTTTAAAGCATGGTCAGGGTACAGCCCTGGATACCTGGCCATAATGCCAGGTGACTTCAGAACAGCTCAGTTAATATCCTAAGCAGTTCTGCTTGGGTATGGAGCTCATCTCTCCTCTGCTGGTCCTGCAGGGATTGCCCCTTGGCCAGGCTCTGCTCATACAGGTCAGGTTTCAGTACAGGAAAAGACAGAGTTTTAAAAGTCCGTGACAAAAGCCTTATGTCAAGGTAGGTAATAGTGGCAGGCCAAAACTTTGCTAAGAGGACAAAGACACAGATGAAGGCGATTGGCACCAGGGGTGACAGCCACCCTTTGCTGTGCATGCTGCATTAATCTCTGTGCCCAAGCACATCAATTAGTCTTCAGCCCTCTTAGGAAAAGCTCTCACCAGTTAAAGCACTCAGACCCTTTCTGCAGGTCAATAAAGCACATCAACACATGCTGAACTTGAAGTAAATCTGTTTCCAGATGCTTTTTCTTTCTGGAATAATTCCAAGGATAGGCCTCAAATAGCTGTTGGCTCTTCCCATCCTGCTATGCAATCCCAGTCAAGGATCGAACACTTTGAAGGTGAGCAGGAATAAGGCCTTTCCAAACAATGAGATCAGCCTTGTCTTCCCTGGCATGACTGAGGATCCACACGCCTCATGCACAAAGCATACTCTGTTGTAATGCCTTGCTTTTCGACTTGACTCTGGCAGTTATTTCCAAATGTTGGTCTTTTCCCTTTCATATTTCACCTCCGAGTGCAGCTGGAGAGACACAGCAGCCCTCACGATCTATGGATATGAGTTAGTTTTAAGTAAAAAAATAACCTAGCAATAAAGTGCAATAAAGGGCAAAGTAAACTAAACACAAGTCAGTCTATAAGGCACATTCAGAAGTTGAGCAAGACACTCATCAGAGCAGTTTACCATTTCTGTTCCTCTTGCTTCCCTTTACTACGCAGTTGTCTATTTTTTAGTATTCTCAGGAAAAAAAAAAGAAAAAAGAAAAAAAATCGATTTTTTTTTGCTTTTAAAGTATTTTTTCAGTGAGAAAATTAAGCTAATTGAAGTAAAACAAATTTCAAGAAAGATAAAGAATGTTATTAAATACAGAGAAAAAGACATATCAAATTTATCTAAATTAAAATTTCTATTTATTTTCAGCAAACTTGTCAGTCCATTTTTTTAATTGTCAAAAATCTCTCATATTTTAAATTTACAGTCTGCTTTGGGGCAAAAAAGTAGTATCATCATCCTGCCAAATCTCAGCGGGATAAAATAACTTTTTTTCCAACTGTGATTATTGTACAGCTGATGTCTACACTAGGTCTTTTTTCACTGATGGCACATAGTTACTAGGTAATCGTCACTGTAGAGACAAATTTCTGAGTTTCTGGGCTACTTCTGCAGCTTCCCTGCTACTTCCGTGCAACCCAAGGAAGGTACCGTATTGGGGCAGCAGGAGAATATTCTAGAAAACCTAAGATAACAAGCTAGAGTATAAAGGAACATTACAAAATAATTCCAGTGTTTTGGGAAATTTTTTGTAATAACCTAAATACCAGCAAAATTATTTCCAGAGGACATGTGCTTCTGGTTTCTTGAAAGATGTTTATAATAAGCTAGAGAATTTCTTTTGTTGTTAACGTGCTAGAGTGGGTTGCAGTACAATTTTACAAGAATACAATAATCTAGATAAAATATGGACATAATCTCAATGAAAATTAAAAAAAAAAGAGAAAGCCTAATATCATGTTCAATTGCACAGCCTTGAGTAAAGTCTTTTAAATACTCTGCTTAAGTCATATTGCTTTTGCTTTAGCCAGAATAACAATTCTATGCTCCCTCTGTTGCAAAAATATTCCCCATCAGTGTCATTGTCTATTAGCATCAATGAGAAATGTGTACAGATCAAAGGAAATAGAGATGCTGCAATGCAAAAAGGGATGTTTTTTATAGCATGCAAGAAGCACAGAGAGTCATTAGGAAGAAGAAAATTCTAGGGGCCCACAAACTCCTCTCTAAGGGCTGTTCTGCTATAGCCTTAAGTACTTAGCCCTTTGAGTTGGTAGAGATAAATCTTATACTTCCTCAACCAAATTTTCTGGTAAGCCTTTATTGCCTCCTAGAGATTAGCTGTCATAACCCAAGAGTGTCACTTACAGAATATCATCTAAATGAAAAGGCTTTAGTGACTTTACATGAAGGTTTGAACCACCAAGCTGAGGAGCTCCTGTGCAGTTCACTACAACCAATGGTAAGGATGTGACTTCAGGTTAGATCAAACCCTGAAATTTTTACTTATGCAAAATTACGGTCTGTAGTGAGCAATATGTTTGAAAGTCTGGAATTTACAAGTATTCGTTCAAAGGACATGCCATGTCCTGCTCCTGCCATGCCCATAAAGCAGAAGGTTGTTGTTTTGAGCAGGAACTTGACACAAGTTTGATACCTGTGAAACTGAGAAGGCTGTGACTTGGTCTCATCTGTTTGTACTCAGCAAAATCAAGCTCTATATCAGTGTATACTCCTGGATCAAGCAATGCAGACAGGTGCTCCTAAAGCTGCCCAGAAGGTTAAGTTTCCTTCACCTGAAAAAAAACCTTTGAGTATTACATTTCAGAAGTGCACTTCCCATTGAACAATAAACCAACCAGATCCACTGTATATTAAAGCCAGTGAACCTGGAGTTCTTTTGCAAAAGGGGTTTAGATGTGCAAGTCTGATTACCACATCAGAGCTGTGAAATGTAAAGAACTGATTTAGGTTTCTCATTACTGGGAAATTTGTGCCTTCTAAGCAGTGCTCCAGCTTGCTGTCTTTCAGCTTCAGCCTCACAGCAATCTGGGAGCAAATTTACACATTGCAAGATTGTACTTGATGAAGGAGTTGATTTATCCCGTCTTCTTTTTCTTTGCTTACATTTAAGCACTACATCATTCTAGCCAGTCATACTATATGCATCAAGCTAGCTAGGAAAGGTTATGTATGTATATATATATATATACATATATATATATATATATAGCACAACTAGTATGATTCCTCAGTTGTCTTAACTTACCTGGCCCTTTCTTTGAGAAAGGAAAAGGAAGTGAAATACATCTGCTCAGTAATTTGTGATTCTGGATCTCGGATCAATCAGATCCTCCTTTCTTCTGGATGATTTTAAATTAAAAGCTGCACCACCCTCTTTCTTCCACAAGATGTAACAATGGGTGGTGATTTAAGCTCCCAGTTTCCTAAGGCATTATTGGTCTCCAAAGACACCATACATATGATATACAAAGGAGTGGTAAACAGTTTTTCCCTTGACTCTCTGTGATCCTTTAAAATTTCCATTCAGTCCTCATAATTACTCTCTCTGCAAGATGAATAATCTTTTTTTTTAATAGTCTCTCCTTAGGATGTGAGGTGTCCATAGAACATGAATATCATTTGCACATTCAGGTTGACACTCAGAACACCACATATTCAAAACAACTGAGTTATGCCTGCTTTCCCATTCTACTCAGAGGTTGCTATCTTTACACCCAAGTAGGAATAATTTGTATAAATACATAAAATTTCTTGTTGGCATTGGGCAGAGAGACTTGAGTATTTACAAAATCCCACTTCAGATATTTTTTGTGTGATAAAAGTGTCACCAGTGAAGTGAAAACTTTTAATTACTTCCTTGGCTTTTTTTTTTTTTTAAGGATAGAAAGAAATCAGCCTGATTTCCAGCAGTGTTGGCTTAGAATCTAGGAATAACTGCAACTGTAAAAGGAACAGAGCTTTAGCAAAGGTGAGGATGCTCTTCCCCCAAAACTCATTCAATAGGTCTTATTAAATCCTCTTTGTCCTGACTTTGTTATCATAACTTCTGTGGGATTCAATAGCAAAATTTAGATGCAGTGCTGAAAGAGGCTTCACAAACTGTTGTAGATATCATTTTGAGGGAGTATGGGAAGTATTTTATACTTTAGGGAGTAAAAAGTAGGCATCTCAATGGAAAAATTCTGTCCTTTTTAACTTGATAGTGCCACTAGAAGTCATACTTCCTGATCTCCATATTTTCCAGTGTTGTATTTCTTAGCTTTGGCA